GAGGATCCCGTGCTCACTGTGATCACCTATGCCGGGCTGAGCCTGTCTCTGCTGTGCCTCCTCCTGGCGGCCCTCACCTTCCTGCTGTGCAAAGCCATCCAGAGCACCAGCACCTCCCTGCACCTGCATCTCTCCCTCTGCCTCTTCCTGGCCCACCTGCTCTTCCTCACGGCCATTGACCGGACTGAGACCAAGGTACTGACACTGTCTCCATGCTGCACTGGGTGCCTTAATACAGTGGGTCCTGGTGGAGGTCGGTGGAGTGAGGAGCCACTTTCACACTGAGCACACAACCTACAGACCCACCCCCTCTGACAACTCCTTCGTGCGTATCAGAGTTCTCCCGGATGGTAAGGTACAGGAGAAGCCCAGGGCACAGACTCCGCCCTGCCAGTCCCGCCTGGTGAGCCCTTACTCCTCCCCCAGGTGCTGTGCGCCGTCATCGCGGGGGCCTTACACTATCTCTACCTGGCCTCCTTCACCTGGATGCTGCTGGCGGGTCTGCACCTCTTCCTCACGGCACGCAACCTGACCGTGGTCAGCTACTCCAGCGTGAGCAGCTTCATGAAGTGGCTTGTGTTCCCTGTGGGCTACGGGGTCCCGGCTGTGATCGTGGCCATTTCTGCAGCGTCCAGGCCGCACCTTTATGGAACACCCACCCGGTAAATGCAAATCCCAGGAGAACACATTTTCAAAATCAGGTGGCAGCCGGCCTTGGCCCATGGGCTGCGGTCTGCAGATCCTTGTCTTAGTAGCTTTCTCCTTTGATTCTTCCTGGCGGGTGCATCTGACTGTCTCCGCGGTCCTCACAGTTCTCACCTCACTCACAATTCCCCTCCCTGAGGTTCAAATCCAATGCTGCCTTGGGCCTTCAGATCAGGTGACCTTCAGATACTGATTGTTTCCTAAGCCCCAGCTGCCTGGCTTGTGATTGAATTATGTGATGCACATCAGCCCTAAGTACTGTGTCAGACATAATGGTCTGCTTTTTTTTTACTCATCTTCCATGAACCAAAATTTCTCACCGTTTCTACCTGTACTTTACCTTCATAGTTCAGCTGAAACACAATTCACTGCTTTCAGGGAACCCTTCCCAACTGACTGCTTCTTCGACATCCCAGACGGGGTGGGGGTGGTTATGGATCCTGCTGCATGTTCTCAAACCTCCTCATGATTGGTTATAAATCTCATCATCTTGATTGTTTTCTATTGTCTGTTGACCTGTCACTTGGGGGCCGGCCGGGGGTGGGGGAGAATCTGTTCCCAGTCGAGGGCAAATCATCTTTGAAATTGAAATCAGTCAAAGGGAGAGAGAAAGTGGGAGAACCCGTGTATCGCCCACAAGCAGCCGTCCACTTCTGCTCTCGCTTGTCTCTGGTGACCCGGTTGCAAAAAGGGGTCCCACCCAACCTCTCCATTCCGGATATGCCCTGCTCCCCCTTGTAATCACTTGCTGACATGGAGATGGCCTACTTCTCTCCATCCCTTGGAGACACCTGTTGATACGGACATGCACTAAGGCCCAGTGAGAGGTTCTGGGAATATTGCAATTTTACCCACACCTTCCCACTTAGCTAGGATCTTGCTGAGGACACAGATGAATATATTTTAATTGCAACTGGGTCTACATAGCCAAGAACAGATCCTGACACAGAGAAGATATTCATTCTTTGTTCAAAAACATAAATTGTCAGGGTTCTTTTTTCTTAAAAAATATATCTCTGTATGGTGACAGAAGGTAATTACACTTATTGTGGTGACCATTTCTTAATGTATATAATTGTCAAACCACCATGTTGTACACCCGAGACCAATATCATATTGTATATCAACTGTATTTCAATTTAAAATTTTAAATGAATAATAAAGTTAAAAGACCATAACTAAGTTCAGGAGACCTGATGTACAGCATAGTGTCAATAGCTAACAAATATTGTAAATTAAAATGTACTAAGAGGATAGGTCTTAGGTTATGCATCTTACAAAAAAAAGCCATAATAATAATAATAAAGGAGACAGGAGGAAACTTTGGGAGGAGAAGGATATGTTTATTTGTCAATTCTTTACCCACAGAAGCCAATATTCTTGAATCTCTTCCTGTCTCCCTCTCCTACCCAGGATGCTGACACATAAAGCCACAGCTCAGCTCTTCATCTTGGGATGCACGTGGTGTCTGGGCTTCCTGCAGGTGGGGCAGCTGCCCAAATCATGGCCCACCTCTTCACCATCATCAGCAGTGGGCAGGGCGCCTTCGTCTTCCTGGTGTACTGCCTCCTCCGCCAGCAGGTACCACTGTCCGCCTCCCACCCGGGGGTCTTTCATCCTCACCCCTCTCAGTGAGCCGACCCAGGCCATGCTTTGCCTGCAGGCCTGGGCACAATACAGGACATGGTTTCAAGTGGCCAGGGAAAGAGGAGCTGAGTCTGAGAAGTTCACACTTTCCAGCAGGGCCATTTCTGAGGTCTCCAAATAGTGTGGTAAGGCCACACATTGCCCCCAGAGCACTTCACTAACTGCTCCACAAGAAATCTCATGTCTAGCACCCTGGACAAGCTGGGTAGGCAACAGGTGACGCCCTAGACTGGCTCACACTTGGTTCACTCCTGGACTCACCCAAAGGCACTTCCCTGTCATGAAAGAAGGTCTTCCTCTACTTGTGCTCACTGTGTCTCTGTTCACTTTGACCCTTGCACTTGACCATCCACTTACCCCTACACATGTGGAGCACCCACTTTGTGCGACATGGTGCCTGCCCTTTTTTGTGAAACTATCATTGATATACAATCTTATGTTTGTTTCAAACATGCAACACAGTGGTTAGACAGTTACCCATATTATTAAATCCTCACCCCTCTAGTGTAGTCACTGCCCATCAATGTGTAAGAAGGTACAGAATTATTCACTGTATTCCCCATGCTGCCCTACCGTCCCTGACCAACTTTTATCTTGTGATTGGTGCATGCCCTTTTAGATTTTACTTGTTGAGAAGGTAGAAAATGTAAGATAAAAAGCAGTGTCTGATGTGCTCAACCCTCCCCCCAGTGCCTTCAACCTTACAGAAAACACTTTTCATAAGCAGAGAGACCATAGTCCACTAAGGAAGCAGGAATTACTGATCTGCAGCGGTCTGCACTCGCCGCAGAGTCACAGCACCACCCTTTATCCCAAGTCATTCCATGCTACCCCGCTATATAATGAGCAATAAATATATGATATAAACAGTCACAAAAGGAAAGTGGAATCAGCATTCAGTTGGATTTGAGACTTTCCTTCAGTTTGAAATCACTCCTAGCATTTAAATACACAAACACTGCAAGTGAGCTGGAGAATCAAGGGGGCGGGGAGAGATCCTGGCAGCGTGAATCTTACCAAGCATTTGTATGTACTGGTGTACAAAACCCTCTCTTGTTTATTTTTTACTTCTTTGGACAATATTTTTAGTTTTCAGTGTACAAGTCTTACACTTTTTGTGTTTAAAAAAAACACAAGTCTGCAAGTTTACACCTTCCTTCTCAGGTGAATTACAAGGAACAGCTACATCAGGTAAACTTGTCTGCTGGAAAATGAACAAAAAACACTGAACTGTCATCTTTTGGACAAAGAGTATGAACACTTTATTGGAACGCAGTCACACCCATTTGTTGTATCATTTATGGCTGCTTTCATGCTACAGTGTCAGAGCTGATTCACTGTGATGGAGGCTGTTAAGGCCACAAAGCCAAAAATATTTACTACCTGGCCCTTTATAGAAAAAACTTCCTGGTACATGTTCTTTGAGACCTAATTTTCAGTATGCAGGAAATCCAGGGGACAGAAGAACAATTTAAATGACATCATGAGGAAACGGTCAGGCAAATCCTGAACATGGGTATTCAGCAAGCCAATTGACTTAAGACTTTTCTAACATCAATATCATTTTTAAAAGGGAAAAAAGCAACATAACAATCAAACTCAATGTCAATCTTACTGGGACTCTGGTTCAGATATCCAGGAATATGAGACATTTTGGAGGAAGTTGGGGTCATTTGAATATGTGTCAGACAATAAGTTATTATGATATGAGTGCAGTAAGAGTATTGATTATGTACACAATATTCTTTCAATTCTTTAATATTTGTTGATGGAATATTGATGAAGTGTCATGATGTCTTCATGGACTATCAAATGCTTAGCAAGACAATGTATACATGCATGTAAATACACTGAGAAAGATTTTTTAACGTGGCACTGTTAACAATTGCTGACTCCAGATTAAGGGTATATGAGTTTTTGTTTTTGTTTGGTTTTGGGGGGGTACTGGGTATATTGAACATCAATCAAAAAACACATTCAAGATGTCAAGCAAGGTGAAAAATATCAACAGTAAAAAACATTTCAAAGCAACAGAGTAAAAAGTTGGGCTGTCCTCTCAGAAGGGGATCCGAATGGGAGGTAAAAAGGGTGCGATCATTCAGGTCCTGCCGACCCTCTGAACAAGGCCGCTGACAACTGGCTGCTCCTACAAGGGGCCCTGTGCCAACTTCCCGCTTAAAAGGCCCAAAGCTCAGTTGTCCTCGCTCAATCAGGTATTTAAAAGAGGTCATCAAACTGTAGTCCTCTTCCAAGTCCAGAACAGTCTCAATGACACCGCCATCATCGAAAGCCGGCCCGAGGCCACCCGGGTCAGCATCTCAGGCCTCCGGCGGGCTCTCGCCCCCCAGCAGAGCCCAGGCCTCCTCCCCGAGGGCGGGTCTCCGCAGCGACCACACACACGGTTCGACTCATTTTCAGATTCTAGTTTCCCCGCCAATTCTTCAGTGTGCGGATGCTTCTACGGTGGAACCTGTCGAGCAGATCCTCCGTGACCTCTTGGCTGGAACTGCTGACACGGATATTTGGGTCAACCCTCGGCTCCCCCTCCGCGACCCCGCCCTCCGGCCCGCCGCGCGCTCGCTCTCCCCGCCGGCCCCGCCCCCCGGCCGGCTGCGCGCCCTCCGGCCCCGCCCCCCCGCCCGCCGCGCGCGCGCTCTCCCCGCCGGCCCCGCCCCCTCGGCCCGCCGCGCGCTCGCTTTCCCCGCCGGCCGGGGCTCCCTCGGGGCGCACAGGGCCGCCGGCCAGGCGGACCCGGGGCCGGGCTTCGGGCCGCCCCTGAGGAGCCGGGCCGCCCGCTGGCCCAGGCCCGGTCGCTGGCTGCAGGCAGCTCCTTGGGCCGCTGCGCGGCTGCTCAGAGAGGCCCAGAGCTGGCGGGCCTGCCTGCGCCCACAGCACCGCCGGCCTGGAGAGCGAAGGGGCCCGGGACGCCCCGGCCCTCGCCTGCACCCCCGCCAGCACTGCCCGGCCCCCTCGCGCCGCCCGCGCCCCCGCCCCACAGCCCGTCGCACCCGTTCAGGACCTCCGCCGCCCTCCCCCATCACTCACCGCCCTAGTCCCGGCTCACACCCTCCCCCTCGCACACCCACTGCCCCGCACCCGCACCCGCACCCCCTTCTCTAGGCCCTGCCGGCAACCCTGCCCCCTACCCTGCACCACGCCCTACCCTAGGCCCCCCGCATATGAGTTCTTATTGTATCATTCTTACAAATGCTATGTTTACAAATGGCAAATAAATGGTGTCAGATGAATAAATATATTAACTATTAATTCATTAAAGATAAATGCTCTCATAAATTCCTAGACGTCCAGATAAAATGCCTTTTTCTCTGCACAAAACTAATTTTGGGAATAAATCTTTTCTAAAACTATGAATTTGCATGGCTAGATGATGGATTTAAAATAAAAAAATAAGACAAAATTATTAGAATAATAGAAGATCGAGAGGATCTCTAGTTCCACCTAGGAAATAGAAAATGGAAAAAAAATTGCTCCCAACGTAACAATAAGAAAAACCAGTACAAACAATAAAATCATTTATTTTCTTGAACCCAGGAGAGAGAGGCAGTTCAACAAAGTAGCCTAAAATCTAAGGAAAGAGGCTTGTCCCAGGAGAAAACATCAGGAGCACTAGCCGACCTACGGCAGAGCACAGAAGGCAGTATTCCGGGGCCACAGAAATGCTCGAGAAGATTCTCCTACAGCCCTTAATGAACCGCTAAGGGCCAAGTGCGGCTATCGTGAGAATATAGAACCTCTTAAGGAGCCGTAAGAATGTGGAGAGACCTTCTCTTAAATGCAGCCAGAGAGGGCAGGTCTACTGCTGAAGGTGGAGCAATGAGAAGTACCCTTAGCCAAACAGCCCCAAAATAAGCACTAGGTAACAAAACCAAAGATCAAAGGGCATTCTTAAATGCCGCCAAGGAAGAATGATACATTACGCAGAGGGAAACAATATAAATTTCCTAGCCAAACCCCTGGCCCATTCCCCCATTGCCCCATTGTCTCTCCCATTCCAATCCTCCTAGTCCAGTCATTTCCACCAAGCCCAGAATCCCTCTGCCTCCGTGTGCCAAAGCATTGACAGCACTCTGATTCCCTCCCTGGCCTCACACACAAATCTGTCTGACTCTGCCTGTTTTTTCCCAAGCTCACCCACCATCATTCCAGCAGCTGTTGTCAGCCCTTCCCTTGCACCTGAGCCCTATCATGTATTCAGCCCCCTCTAGCCCTCCTCTGTTGCCCCCAAACACTCCACCCCGTATCAAAGTCACTCCAATTCCTCCCCAAATCCTCACCCTTCCCGTTCATCCAGGACCTTCACGCTCCACTGACTTCCTTTACAACCACGCGGGGCAGGTGCTCCTAGTTCTCGCCTTCACCACCCTGTTCATACTCAACGGCTCCAGCCACCTGGCAACCACAGGACTTCTGTCCACCCAGATTGCAGGGTCTGTAATCCCCAGAGTGTCCTGGGTCCTCCTGACCCAGCCAGCTCTCCTCACTTTCCATATGGCCTCCAGACTTCCCGGTATTCCACTCCTGCCTCTCCCACCCCCAACTGCTGCACCGCTTCGGACCTATGCAGCCCACCATCCGGAATGCCCTCAAGCCCTCTGGGCTCCCCCGCCACTCCATGTCTCCCTGTATCTTCTGTCCCTCCTCGTCTCTCCCATTAATCCTCTCCCCACTCTGTGACTGCACTCAACTCCAGTGCGGTCTCTCCCCCCCTACCCACTGCTCCCACCTCCCCAGCTCCTCCACAGCACCTAGTGCCTCCCCCAGACCTGCAATACAGTCTATTCTCAAGCACAACCCAGTTCCTATCAGGCCCACCACCATGCCCAGTCTCGCCATCTTTGTTCACAAAATTTTCCAGCCAGTTCTCCCCAGGCCCCTGTCCCTGTTGTAAGAATAGAAATAGGTTAGCATAAGCACAGCCATCTTAAAAGCCTAGAAGCCATTTTCTGAGTATGTGACTTAGAAAGAAAAACTGGAACTGGGTAAGGCCTTGAAAAACAAGCTAATCATGAACACCAGATGGTGGGCAGCTGTGGCCTTTAGTCAGCTAACCTTGGTCAGCTAATCCTACATACCAAGCTTATTGTGCAGAACCTCCCTGACAATTGAGGAGTGGTCTTATCTTGCTCCTGCCTAACCCCAGGATGTATGTCTTGCAAGAATAATGTGCAGCTGTGGAAAATTACTATGAGTTAAGTGTTTTGAAAATGCTATATAAACCCTTGGCTTTGAGTGCTCGGAGTCCTTGTTGAGACCGCTCGGGCTGACATTGGACCCCAGCTAGCTGGCTGAATAAAGACTTTGCTTGAATTTACATCTCTATGCCTGTGTAGTTTGTTCTCTGGAGAAGCCTCGGAAGCCCGGACCCTAACACTGTCTCACTATGAGTTTCAAACACCCAGCCCAGAATGCCCCACAGGAAGACTGACTGATCTAACTCAGCCCTGAACAGCCCCCAGTGGTCCCTCCACTCACTCCACTTCTCTCTGCTGATGCTTCTCCTCCCATTTCTTTTAGGCCACTGCTCCAATCCCAAGGAATTTCAACTCTCACTCTTTTTTTAAGTGTATTTTTTATTGAAGCATAGTTGATATGCAATCATATTGGTTTCAACTATACAACGCAGTGATTCAACAGTTACACACGATTAAATCCTTACCCCAATGAGTGCAGTTACCATCTGTCAACATAAAAAGATGTCGCAGAACCTCTGACTATATTCTCCGTGCTGCACTTCCATCCCTATGACCAATTTATATTATGATTGAGATTTTGGGCCTCTTTATTCCCTTCACCTATTTCACCCACCTACCCCAACCCCTCCCCCATGGTAACCATCAGTCACTTCTCAGTGTCTATGAGTCTACTGCTATTTTGTTCGTTTTGTTTTTAGATTCTTCATTTAAGTGAAATCATATGGTATTTGCCTGGCTTCTTTCACTAAGCATAATATCCTCTGGGTCTATCTATGTTGTCACAGATGGCAGGATTTATTTCTTTTTTATGGCTGAATAATATTCTACTGTGTATATGTACATAACTATCCATTCTTCTATTGATGGTCAACTCTCACTTTTCTTATTAAGGTATCATTGATATACAGTCTTATGAAGGTTTCACAAGAAAACAATGTGGTTACTACATTCACCCACATTATCGAGTCCCCCCCATATCCCACTGCAGTCACTGTCCATTTGTGCAGCAAGATGCCACAGGGTCAGTACTTGTCTTCTCTGTGCTACACTGTCTTCCCCATCTCACTCTTGAATAGTCATATTGCTAAGACCCAAAGTGCCCAACTTCTGGATATCAAAATCATCCCTAGGATCTGAAGGCTCCAAGCATGCAGCTTCAGCTGCTTGTAGTTCTCTGGTTCCTGCCTTTTAGATTAACAATTCAGCAACACATGAGCTCAGTAACTTCTGGTTCCATGACACTTGGGATCCTCAACTTCCAGCTTCAAAGTGCTTCTCATTACATACTTCCCAGGTCCAGATTCTATGTCTCCACCAGGGGATTAAATCCTGCATGAGCCCGTTTCCTCAACCATATAATGACCATCAGATCCAGGAAAGGGGGCAACAAATGCAGGGAGCTGCTTGCAACTGAGCCCCAAAGTGCACAGCTGCAAGGAGAGACCTCTTCCACCTTGTACCTCATCCCCAGCCCCCACCCGCTCTCTGATGGGCCTGGTCTTGTACCAGATCTCTAGCATGAGAAGTGGAACCTCACTTCAAAAACTTGTCTCATAAATCTTCTGCATCCGTGGATGTTTTGCTGCCCTTGTCTAGCTTGGATTAATACTTAGTCCATAGGCACACACCTGATCATCTACATTTGCCCTCTTACAGCACTAAACTATGTTTTCTACCTTTATCTTGCATCTACCTACCACTTCAGCATTTTATTAAAAATAAAAATAATAATAATAATAAAGGGAGAAATGTGGGATC